GTTGGTCTGGGTTGGATGGAGATGTGCGTTGTACTTGGCTGTGGAAATGAACTGGTTCCCTGGGTGGTGCTGGGGTTAACCCTGTGTTTGGGCTGAGCTGGGTTAACCCCACTTCTGGGCTGAACTGGGTTTATCCCCACATTTGAACTGTGCTGGGGTTAACCCTGTGTTTGGGCTGAGTTGGAATTTAAGCTCACATTTGGTCTGTGCTGGGTCCGACTCCACATTATGGCTCAGCTGGGTTTAACGCCACTCCTGAGCTGAGCTGGGCTTAACCATATATTTGAATTGCACTGGATTTAACGCCAAGTTTGGACTGCACTTGATTTAATCCCACTCCTGGGTTAAATTGGGTTTAATCCCACTCCTAGTCTGCGAGGGATTTAATCCTGCTTCTGGGCTGCGTGGTCCCGTGTTTGGGCTGCCCTGAGTTAAGCCCCACGCTGGGGCTGTACTGGGTTTAGCCCCACATTCAGGCTGCGCGTGGGGCTTACTGGACTGCACTGCCCTCACAGGGAAAGATTGTTTTACTGGTTTAACTGGGGCGATTCCAGTGTGCTGGGATTGCACTGGCTGCAGTTGTCTGTGCGTGTGTGCTGGCTCACCTCAGCCTGGCGCGGTCCCCCCCAGCAGGCATGGGAGCCCATGGGTGCTCGGCACCCCACTGAAGCGGTGCAGAGGAAGGGAGCCATTTTTGAGGTCCACAAGGCACTGGAGGAGCAGGGGAGGGGGAGCAGGGCTCTCCTCTTGTTCCCGGGGAGCATCACCCCAGCAGTGCCCAGGGAGGGTGAGGAATTGCCTCCGGGTGCTGCTGGTGGTCCTGGGGACTGTCCGGTGGCCCTGAAGGTGGTGCGGGACGTGCTTCCCTCCCTGCCAGCACACATTGCCGGACTTTCTCCAGGCACCCAGTGGCTGGGAGGGTGCCGGTAGTTTTTAGGGGACAAGGGTGGCTGGTGGGGGGGACAGTCCCAGCTGCACGGTCGATGCTCCTCCTGCCCCGAAGGTGTGTGTTGGTGCAATGATGCCGGAGCTCACCCGTGCCTCGGGAGTGGGATGCTGCTGGGTTTCTGGGCAGATCAGCAGCCACGGGGACGGCCTCAGGCCATGCCACGGCTCCTCGGAGCAGCGCACAGTGCTTCTGCAGAGCTGTCAGGAGGAGAGGGGGTTAGCAGCACACTGCACTCCAACCCTGCAGGACAGCAAGAAGGGGGGGAATTCCTGAGGCCACCGCCCTTGGCCGCGGGACTGGTTTCCCACAGTGGGCACTGGCAGAGAGGAGGATCTGGGGCACGGGGCCAGGGATGCTCCCCATCTCAGAGGCAGGAGTGCAGCGTGTTGCCTTCTCCAGGGCGTTAGAGCCAGCCAACATCAGGCATCGCCTGTTGCAGAGCAGCTTTTTGCAGGTGGTCGATGCCGGCAGGGCCCAGCACGTGGTGGGCAGAGCTGCCGAGTGCTCTTGGGTTGTTTTATTTGCCACATCTCCGTTGCAGCGATCCTGCCCCGGACCACCCCGGGGAGAGGTTAGGAGGAACCCCAGCTTTCTGTGCTTGGTGGAGAGCATCCTGTGTCTCCCTGCTGCCATCTTCAGCATTGCGGCACAGCATCATCTGCTTCTG